ATTCTGGCTTCTGAGAATGAACCTTGATGTGTGTTTTTTCCCAGTATCATACACCATCATGCGCGCACTGCTGATAGTGGTGATCATACTTTTTTGGACACTAGGTACAATCAGCAAAGTGTACGATTCCGGAGTTTATCGTAACAATTAGAAATTACTTTTCCAACTCATTACTTTGAGATCTGGAACCAAATTCAGGGAACCTGAGTGCATGCTACCCACCGCATAATTTCAAGCTTGCTATCGATAAGCAGTCGAACGTACAAAACCCGGTGAATGGGTCTGGGATAAAATGTTCGCAAACGATATCAATGGCTCTTGACTAAGGCTTCGAATAATCACGTGTACAGGTTAAATGAACGCCCCAATATCATCTCTTAGCCCTTGCTTTCTTTCCTTTCCTTTTTTAATTGAGCTTATTATGTGCCGTGTTGTTGAAAAACTGGTTTTTCGACGGACTACAAACCCAGCGCACGATCCGACCTGCTTTCTAACATATGCACACCCGGAGTTTGTGCTCACATTCCCTAAAGTCGTTGAGTTTGAGCACTAAATGGGTGTGCTGCCTTTTTGATCTTTCTCTATATAAAGCAGCTATTCACGTCGTCGAACACTATGTAGTCTTTTTGTTTATTTCTCTAAAGTATTAACTTGATTAGCTTGTGTTGGCTTGAGTAGGTGCTTCATGTGTCCACTTGCCATATAGGGCGGCATCAGGTTTCGGATTTGCCTGTCACTGTGGCCAGCCACAGAACGCCTGCGCCTACAGAGGGGCCATGGGTGGCTTACGCTGCACCACTCACATCTCCAACCACACACCACATGTCCAGTGTAAACCCGAAGGAATAAGACCGGGAGGCATGTGGATGGGAGCAACATTTCATCAACGGAGCCGGCCCACACTCCTTCACAGGCAAACACAAGCACGCTGTATTTGGGGCATAAAGCGCACACAAAGCGGTGGCTGGACCGTAGTCCGCTCCATCCTGAGTGCATAGAAACCACTCTTCGAGTTTAGCACGGCCACGAGGACCGTGCACCCCATACCCTCTAGCAACGACCAACTGACTCCTGGAGCCAGTATGGACGAGGTAGTGGGTAATGGACAGGTAGGCACCTTGTCAACATGCACATCAAGCGCAGCCACACCGGGGATGTCAAACAACAACCAATCACTTGAAACGAGACAAATAAAATAAATTGAACAATGCATACAGATTTGGTGGCATAACTCTTCACTAAATGAGCATATGAAATAAATTGGTTACGAACAAATCCGCGATAAGTTCAAGATGTTAGAAGATATATTTTAAGAAAAATGCCACAAACGCGAAAATCTTATTGAAGTTAACTAAGCTATTTTAAGGAACGTGTGCAAGTTTATAGAAGATAGTTCAGGTAGACATTAATATGTGATTAAAAACATTAGGACAATATAGCAAACCCACCACCTGAAATAAGGAGACAGCATGCAAGCACGAGGTTAGTAAATCGAATGCGACGTACCTACCAACGCTGTGCCGTTTCCGCCTACGCTCTCAGAAGGACTCGTCGTCGTTTCGGTGTTGTCTCCGATTGGCCTCGCTCATGGCTCACTAGGCCTGCCTCAGGAACTCGCGACCGCAAGTGCTACAGCATCATGCGCTCGACATCGATGGACTATAACCCATCAGCGTCTGCCGCTTCCGCACTTGCCGCTTCTTCTCTGCATGCACGAGGGCTTTCTCTTGCACCTCGGCAACGGCCTTCGCGATCAGATCGCGCTATGCGCGCCGATCAGCCGCTTTCGGCTCCTACGACTTGCAATCAAGAGTAGAACATGAAAGGCTCACTTTGATCATGTCCCGTTAACAAAGCTTCGGTTTCCCCACATTCCGCTTCCCCAAACTCAGTTGACCATAATAATAGCTGTTTCGGTATCCGCATCGAATCCATACGCCACACATGACCGAGCCACCTCAGGTGTTTCAGCAAAAGTATGCAGTCCACTGCATACATTCCACTTCGGCGCAACACTTCCGTGTCCGCAAATCTGTCGCACCAACCGATGCGCAGAATCCGTCGCAAACACTGTTTATGGAACTGCTCGCGATATCGCATATCCCGCCGGTACATCGTCCACGTTTCACTACCGTATAGAAGACCAGACAGCACCATGAATTTGTACACCATTAGCTTCGTGCCAATGGTAAGCTGATGGTTGTTCCACACTCGGTACTCTAGCTTCGCGAATGCCACCGCTGCCTTGGAGACGCGAATACGCAGCTCACTGTGTAGCTGCTAATGATTCGACATCACACTCCCAAGGTAGCAGAAGCGGGAGGTGGTTTCCAATACGTTATCATCAATGCTGATTTGCGACAATATTGTAGATTACATCTGCGGTGAAGGCTGAAAGAGACAAACGGTTTTGCTTGTGTTGATGGTGAGTCCGAATTGGGCCACTATCGATGCATTATTCTCATCAAACCAATTAGGCCGCTTACAGTTTGCGCACCCGAGGAGAAGAATGCGACGATTGAAGCATTGGAGTCGGAAAAGAATGCAGCATTTGCTGCACAGGTCGCAGACCCCAGTGACTTGGGGAAGAAGAGTCAGTTTAGCAAACTCCGACGGCGAATGACCCGAGAGCTCCGTCGCATTAAAAATGCATGGTGGACAGAAGGCGAAGCAGGTGGAATGCTGCGCCGAACGCCGCCAACATAAGAGATTCTTTGATTTCTTGAAAGTGGTGTATAGACGGAGGTTGGAGCCACTGAGGACGCTGATCGATGGTATTTCACGCGCTACCTGCACACAGGCTGCAGACGTAATGCAGATCTGGCGAACCAACTTTGATGGTCTCTTGAATAACCAAACAGAGATTGACTGGCCTACATTGAACCATCTGAAGCAGCACAAAGTGAAGAAGAGTCTGGCAGATATGCCGACACTGGATGAGACGCAGAGAGCACTTGTTCAGCTGCGAAACGGCAATTGTGCCGGTGCCGACGGGATTTCGCCAGAATTATTGAAACACGGCGGACCCGCGTTGATGACTGTGCTGTACTACTTGGTGCAACGCGAGTGGATTGAGAAGGAGGTGCCTCCTGAGCTGAAGGATGCCCTTGTGCTACCATTGTACAGGAGCAAAGGAAGCAAGCAATGTGCCAATAAGTATCGTGGTGTCAACTTACTGAGTTGTGTGGAGAAGGAGTTTGCTCGAATCCTACTCAACCGCTTTGACAGTCATGTTGTAGAACCGAACGTGGCAGAAGAGCAATAATTCTCTCACAATGCGTCTAATAGACCTCTTTAACAAATGTCTCACTACCGGTGTGATCCCGGAGAACGACCAGTATTACTGCAGTAGGGAAAACTGGACCTCAAAAGTATCGTCCAGTTGCATGTACATCTATGCTCCCAAAAGTTTTCGAAAAACTGCTAATTCCGTAAATTTTTTCCCCTGCTCCTGAAAACGATATCTACCAGTTTGCATTTAGACCACAGCGCTCCACATTGGATGCAGTGACATATGTTGTTCATCCTATAGCCTCTGCATTAGATCAAAAATGTAAATCCGTACGGCTTCTCTTCCTTGATTATTCGAATGCCTTTGGAAGCCTGGATAGGTCAAGGTTGCTAAACCTGCTATCCGAAATTGGAGTTCACCAAGGTGTGTGTAATCTGTTGCGTGACTATTTTACAGATCCTGCTCCCTTCATCAAGTTGAACGGTAAGAAATCCTCTGTCCGTGCCGACTGTGCTTTTCTACAGGGAGGGATCCTATCACCTTTTCTATTTTCCTTGTATGTTGAACATCTCCCTATACAAACCACGTTTAAAGGGTGTAAATATACTGATGATGTTGTGCTTGGGATGTATGTTCCCCATTAACCAGGATTCCTAATCACTTTAACCTAGGTTGGAAGATCTGGTATAATGGTTTTTATCCAGATCTCTTCCCCTAATGCTTCTAAATGCAGGGATGTAATATTTTCTTTCTACGTGGCGATGAGATGCAGTCCCTCACAGCTTTCTCCCCCATACCTAGCTCTTCTACCGTCAAGTATCTCGGTGTTTTTTTGTCCCAGATCCTTTCTTGGTCCGCGCACGTCTGTAAACCTTTTCAAAAAGTCAGCAAACTTTCTTTTGATGCCCTCAGACAAGGTGTTTTCAGTACCCAGTACTTTAATATTCAGAGTTGTGACCTAGTATTATTCCGCATTGGCTATACTGTCCGCCTGTCATTTTCCCTGGACTGCTTCAGAAAGACTACATCTTATTGGTGCCATCTGTAAAGCACATTTCTAGATGCAGCGGATTGTCTTTAGCTGATTTGATCATTTCTAGACATCTTGATGCCTTCAATGATTTTTCTCCTAAGATATTAACTAATCGATTTCATCCACTTCACAATGATCTTTCCAAAACATTCTCTCTTCTACACGTTCGAAATCCAGAATTTTATTCTCCCGCGGGTCATCGTATCATAATACGGTTTTGTCCTCTCACGTTTGCTTGTTGACACAGCAAAAGTCACTAACATGCTGCGCGAGCGCTTGTTGGAGTAACAGTTCTGCTTTTTCCCCCTTTTCTACCCAAGCATGTATATTGATATTAGCATTCAGGTGCGCGCAGTGATGGTTTAAATGCTGAAAATGAACTCAATAGGATTCATAAAGCTTGTGACTTGACTTGACTTGATCAATACTGCCATGTCCATCCGACCAGGCAGTTAGGTTCACACTACGTGGGTGGCTGTCTGTTGGCTTTTTGTCCCTTACCCGCACGTCGAACCCAGTCGCGCGTTCTACTAACCTGCACCATATTTCTGACCTTAGCGCTTATCCTTTGCTGTTTACTTGTGTATAATCATGCCCCAGAGTCCGATAATATTCTAATTGCGCAACTAAACTGTGTTCATCGAAACGTTCAGCGAATCTTGAAGCCTTGCCCGCCGAATGTGGTTTTGATGCTCTTGGATAACCCCCTCACCACTACAAAATTTCCTTTTTCAGTTGTTACGCTGTGAAGACCTGATTAATCGGGATGCCGTGATCCTCTTCGTTGCTCGTTCTTGGGATCCTCACTCCGGGGGAATCCGAAAATATCCAGATCCGTCCTATCCTCCAGGTACTGTCTTAGGCGTTCATTGTCATACTGTTTAGCGAACCCCGGAACCCTGACATCAGGTGGGTTCCTAAGCAAATTGATGGCGATAATGCTGCGTATTTTTCACTAACACGAAATGAAGCCCCCTTGTACAGATTTTCTAGCGCAGGAACCTCTGATTGTGTCAACATCATGACTGGAAAGTGCACAAAACATAACACGCGTCCGCTTGCACATTAGGGTTGATCGGGGATCAACTCGCGGACATTTGATCACCGATCCATCAATTCCTTCTCACATGTTTAAATTGAAATACTTTTGCTTAATCTCGGCAGCATGGAAAGCACACAGGTATCGACAATACGCTTACATCTCGTGCCGGACACTTTGCTGATGCGCGATCAACGGCGGCCACATGCGGGCTAGGGATACTACAATTTCCCCTACACCCACATAGCCTAAAACCCGGCAGCCTGTGGGCTACAAGCAGGACACCTGAACTGCTCGGCCACCGGCCGGCGGAAGTCATAAGCGTGAGCATAATCTCGTTGCAGAAACCCTTGAAGTTTTAATAAATACTGTAAAGGCATAAATAACGCGGAACAAAGTAAACTAATAATTAGCAACCACACTGCCTAATTCTTTGCTTAGCGTAATATCAAACAACATATAATGTGATGTACTACTGCAGACTTGGACCATTTCATTTCATAGATCTGGAGGCACGTGTATGCAAACGGTCGGCCTGCACTGTTATCCCTGAGTTTCATACGTCGCCTCTGCGGCATCCCGGAAAGAGAAATTGTCTGTCTAACGCTCTTTCTGTGATCTACCTGATGTGCGGTTAGATCTCCATAGTTCGGATGCAGTGGAGTATCCTGTGCAATTCTGCTACGCTATTGCAAATTTGCGACCAGATTCTATCAAACCATTAATCGTAATAATACTGGAACACAGCGGTAGATTTTGGTTTGGCGGTACGCAACCAGAGGCGTAGTTATTAGTTTATACCTGACGTCCGAACTGTGTGCAGTAATTATCACGGGATTAGCCTCATCGATGTGGCTGCCAAAACGCACGAATCTTGCTTTTCCGCTTTGCCAATGGGAGGAATCTGCGAACTCGCCATAACCAAGGTGGCTTTCGTCCAGACAGAGGCTGCACTGACCAAATCTTCACTCTACGTCGAGTACTCGAACACCGCTACCAGTTCCAGCAGCCCACGTTTGTGTGCTTCGTTGATTTTCGAGCTGCTTTTGACTCAGTTGACCGCGAAGCACTCTGGAGAATCCTACTTGCCGATGGTGTGCCGGTTAAACTCGTTAACTTGATGAGATCATACTACCGTTGCACGAAGGCCCGGATTCGGGTCTATGGAGAAGTAACAAAGGAATTCGAAATCAATACTGGAGTCCGACAGGGTTGCCCACTTTCTCCAGTGCTGTTCAACTTCGCAGTTGACTGGGTTATGCATCATGCCCTTGAGGGCTATCGTGGTGCTCAAGTTAGCCCTGACTTCTGGCTGTCAGATCTAGAATTTGCTGACGATATCGCTATCCTTGCGGAAGATGCTATATCACTGCAGTCACTGTTAAATCGAGCAGACCAATCGGCCTCGAAATTAACATCAGCAAGACGAAATACTACTCATCGTTAGCCACCCACTCCGCCCAGTCGCTCTCCTTACATGGACACCTCATCGAATCTGTTCCTGAGTTCAAGTATCATGAATCCACTATACTCCCCAATGGTCAGGCTACATCCGGAATCGTATTGACAGCGCTAGAACAGCCTTCTTACAACTGAGAAACACATAGTGGCGAAGGATGGAAATTAGTCTGCGAACGAAGATCCGCGTATTCTCAGCGACCATTTGTGCCATTTTACTCTATGATTGCTAAACATGGCCGCTGTGATCCGAAGACACCCGGAAGCTGGAAGTCTTCGACCATTGGTGTCAAAGACTTATCTTGAAAATGCAGTGGCATGAACGTATCACCAATGACAAAATCCGTAAGCACTGTTACCGTCTTCCGAAACTCACAACGCTCATCCAACGCCACAGACTTCAGTGCTTCGGCGATGTCCTCCGCAGACCAGACAGTAACTTCACTAGGGCCGTGGTTTCACCCTCGCCTTTCCAGGGTTGGTGTCGTCGCGGTGGTGGACAATTGAAAACGTGGCTCACTGCAGTGAAATCGGATGTCGATCTTCTGGGGCTCCGTGTTGTGCATGGAGCTGGTCACTAGAGGAATCATTGGATCAGTATCTGCGTGGAGCTTGCCGCCGACCGCCGCATTTGGGCAGCTGCAATTCGCGACATTCATGAAGCCGGCTCATCCTGTCGCAGGAGCTAGCTGCAGTAAAGTAAAAAGTAAGTCCGTACCACAGGACACTTATATTAAGTCTGCAGTGTTTGCTAAATAGCCATCACACTCCTTAAGTTTGAACATCGCACATTGTTTTAGTTTTATGAGATATACTGGAATCCTCCACCGAGTATCTCGACAACACTGTGCCTTTATGTGATGCCATGATTTGCTTAACTTAGCTAGCTACTGCGCTGTACTGGTTCCTGCTTCTTGCACCCTCAGAGTCATTCATTTCAACTTGGTTAATGGTTAGAGGCCAGATAACCTCGTGATTCTCCAGGATAAAGGTTATGATGAGGACAGCTGCTCATTCTTTAAAAGGGACTTCCTGTTGTCAACTATCAAACTCCAACTGTCTTGCAGCCAGGTTTCTGAGTTTCTTCGTCCCTCTCCATCCCGCTTATCTTCCCCCTCCAACCTCGATCTCCCTCTTGACGCATAATATGTTACTAAGTAGTCTGTTGCCTGTATTTTGCATTCTATAATTTTTGACGTCTTTTTTTCGTTTGTCTTATCTTCATGTATTGCGGCACAATAGTTGAAGTGTGTTTCTCATCTTCAGCTTATGTGTACTGATGATGATGATGGTAGCTTTTATAATAAATGAATAAATGGTATATTTCTCGACATCTCGAAACACAGACCGATTACGTGGTCTGATCATTTTGTACAACATAATCGAATAGGGTAGAGAGTTGCTCGCGTATTACAGTGGTCCAAATGGAGTATTAGGGGTGTAATAAAAGGTGAGGAATTTAAGAGTGGGATGAATGTACGCATAGCCGGCATTTCAATTAAAGTAATACCTTTATCCATGGAACCGTCTCCTGGTTTCGACTCAAACGCAATCGCAAATCGTCGTTCCGGACCTACTGATAGATCCAAGTCCAACCATAGGGGCAACTTCAATACATCCGCTTCTCTCTGGAGCCATCGTTCCTCGATAAGAGTTGTATGCCTAAAAGTACACACTCTGTTGCAAGCATTACTTGCCCGAACACTAGGGACCCTATCGCTCGATATTTGCTGCTTATCGGAAACCCGGCTACAAGACTCGAGATCGTGGCTCCTCCTCTTCATATGACACTGGCATCACTTTATCATTTCACCTATCCGGTGATAACACAGCCCAAGATGCTGTGAGCCTTGCTCTGAGCCCCCGGACTGTGGCTACTCTCATCGATTGGACCCCAACCAAGAACCGGATGTGTGCTGTCAGATTGACTGGCTTGTTCAAAGCATCGAAGTCGCGCTGGGTACGATTGGTGATTGTTTGTCATCATCATCTCCGCTCCCACAGACCGCAGCGCTGATTCCGTGAAAAATGGCTGAACAAGCTTATTCGTCGCCGAAAAAGTACGGATACTCTATTACTAGCTGCTGATCTGAGCGCTCAAGTTGGAATATTATTCGATGATGAGCTTCATATGGGTAGGCGACTCGGCGTGGACTGCCATAGTATTTACAGTGAGCGGTTGTTATATCTGTGAGGATGCAGCGCCCGTCACAGGGTTACGCAGTACCCATTAGCCTCGTTTCAACCATGGACGCATATTGATGACGTCGTCATTCGGGCGATTGCATTCAAAACTGCCGCTCGATTGGGGGCACAAGTGTGCACTCCAACCATGCGCTTTTATATGATTATCTTCGCTAGTTCCGGTGGACGTCCGTCATGGCAGTGTGAACGTATAAGCAGTTACCGATTGGCGAGGCTAGATCTTCTGTATACATATGAAAGTATGCTTGCCTCCGGGCTGAGTAATCGCTCCCTGAACCCAGTTGAAGTCCACTGGTTCCCTGTTCACCAGACGCAATCAGCATCAGTATATCTACGTACGACAAATCCAATTGTCCCTCTTTGCATTTTCACAGTCTGTGGACTTTCGCGATGCTCATCGACGCGTTCGGACTAGGAAGGAATTCCATGAGACTCGCAAAGATCGCAGTTTAAATTTGCGTGCTAGTCTGTAGGCAAATCACGAAGCGGTCGAATCAAGCAAGTGCCGCCGCTCTTTCTGAACATCGTAAGTTATTGTCTCTCGTATGGGAAAATTGAAGCAACAAATATAATGCAAGCGAAACTACATGTGACATGTCAAAGAGTTTGGAACGTTATAATGAGCACTTTGAAATTCAATTTGATCGGCAGGAACTACCAGTTTCGTTGCTGGTCATGCTCTTCTGCTGTTCCTTTGTACCCGCTTTCGCGCGCGGAATTCGAAGGTAAGCTGGGACCGTCAAGGTTGAATAAAGCGGTAGGGCCAAATGGAGTTACCTAATCCTTCTACAAATTTGGTTAGAACGGGCTCCTGTTGATGATTTCCATGTTGTCATTAAACTGTGAGAACAATCAACTAATCTAAATGACGAGCTGAAACATGAAATTCCAAACAAGAATTTTAGATAAACACAGCTTGTATTCATGAGTAGGGAATTTTGATGTGCAACGTTCGTAACTTGCATGGCAGTGGAGGATAAGACGCGCTATAGCGCAGTTAGCTTGTAAATCTTGACGGTCCGGAGCTCAATTAATCACATTAATGAAAATCATGAGTACCTCAAAATATGTACGCCCTAACGGTTTCTTAATGCTATGTCGTACATAGCTACTGTTAGTGGACGTCGTGTCTTTGGGGGTTAACCCTG